GGGGGGGGAGAAAAGATCGGCGACGAAGCAGAGCAGCAGCAGCATCAGCAGCGAAAAAGACCTGCCATGTCGATAAGAAACCTCTTCCTTGAAGGAGGCTGCTTCCCTTCCCTCACACGGAGTATGCGGGGAGGGCGGGGGTGGTTGGGGTGAGCGTCTCCCTTTGCCCCCCCCACTTTTCCCTCGTCTATCTCGTCCTCGTCCGCCCCCAAGCCGACTCCTGCCCCCCCCATCTCTCTTTGATGGTCCGGGCGTGCTGCAGGGGCAGCCTACTTACAAGGGCACGGCAGCGAGCGGAGAGGTGCTTCTGCTTCTCGCCCGTGTAGGCAGGCGGGCCGGGCCTCGGGCCGGGCGGGAGGGCTCACTCACTTGGCGGACAAGGCACTATGCCACCTCGCAGCAGACGCCCCCTCCCCTTCCCCACCTGTCCGGAGGGGAAGAGGTGTTCCCGTGGTCCTCTAATAAGCACAGGTGTGGCCACCACCCCGCCCCCGCCCCAGCGCCCCACCCCGGCGCCCCGCCCCGCCCAGCCTGCACTGGTCAAGGACAAGCCCGCATTACAAGGCACACATGACGCTAAACATCCGTACTACACTCGGCAGTGTCACCACCACGGCCCTCGACATTTATTTCCTTTGGCAAGCACAACAATTATGTCCCCCATTTGGTTTTGTTCTGCTTCCCATTTTTTCCCCCGCTCGGAGATTAATTGCTATTTCGCTGCAGAGGCGGTGCTTGTTGCCACCCCCCCCTCCGCCACCAATGCTGGTGGTACGCGTGTCACTCTCGTACACAGTCAGACGATACATTTATAACATTAACACCAAGAACAGTAGTTTAATGTATCACCAGCGCAACGGGCTTTCCCTCAGTCACACAGTCACAATCAATGTTAATTTTTTTAGAACTGATACAGTGTCGTTATACTCCCCTCCGTAGATGAAAATGTACAACTTTAAGGAGCTTATTCTAACGTGCTGGTGGTTCGTATGGTATTACATTTCTACGGTTGAACTTACGGATATTGGCGGGAGGCAATAGGAATAGAGAAATCAGCTAGGTATGTTGTGAGGAGTTTTAAAATTAGCAATTATTCAATCATTAGAGGCTTGGCACTGGTGCGCCACTCAATGCTACTGCTACACCGTACGTCTTGCAATGGCAGAGCAAAGGGTCTGGGAGCACGGCGTGGTCGTAACCCAATTTGAACGGGGTTGAAAGCCAAGAGACCGCGGCATGGCGGGGGTGGTGGTGTTGGTGCATCATCTCCATGGAGCCATGGTCTCTCTCTCTCTCTCTCTCTCTCTCTCTCTCTCTCTCTCGTGCGCGATCAATGGCATTGTGGCATTGTCTGGAATGCTGTGTGTACCCTTGCCTGCACATCTTTTGCGCTTTTCTTTCTTTCCTAGAAGACTAATTTCGAATACACCCTGCACATTTAATACAAGACAAAATTATTCCTGCTCATAACTAGAAAAAAATATCATTCAAGAATTGGTCTTGAAAGCAGATTGAAAGCAGATAATACGGATATAAGAAGGCTGTGTTGTGGTTTTCTCCAATATTTCGAAATGTTTTTTCAGGTCTAAGAACAAGTTTGAGACTAAGGTGTTGGTTTAATTTGCTTCTACATCCGCAAGTGTTGAGAGGAGAGTGTGCGACAGCGAGCGACCGGAGCTTGCCTTCTCCGAGGCGGTCTTTTTTATATCGTACTTCCCACCCCCCTTCTCTCAACACAACACCTAGCCAACCTTGCCTTAACCCCCCAACCTCCCCACCTCCACCGAGGCGCCCGCGGCGCATTTGGAAGAAATGTGGGTAACGGGATTTCAAAGCAATCCCTCACACTTCCCTCCCGTCCTGGCCCGTCCCCGCCGGCCCGGGGGCAGGGCAGGGTAGGGCAGGGTGGGCCAGGGTGGGGCAGGGGCCGCCCGCAGCAGGGCGAGTCAGGGCCACGTGCGGCCCCCCGCAGCCCCCCACCCCCAGGGGAGTGGCCTGCCGCGGCCTGCCGCGCGGGGGGTCCTGGCGGTGAGGGTGGTCAGGAGAGAGGGAGTGAGGGACGCATTGATATATCGACATATTGGGCCGCTCGCTCGCGCACGCTAATGCCGGTCGCCACTGCCGCCAACGCACTTGGACGGCGAGGGAGCCGGGCTGCTGGGAGCATAGAGAGGGCGAGCGGCAGCAGCGGCAGCCGGGCTTGGCTCCACCCAGGCCCTCCCACCAGAGGCCCTGGCCGCCGTTCAAGTTGGCTCGCGACCGCCCAACTCTTGATCGCATTGTCTCCTTTGGAGTAGAGTGGTGGAGCGTGGCGGGGCGTGCGGACCGTGGACGACCAGATAGAAGAGGTCCACGGCCAGACAGCATCCCACACAGCACCCTCCTACACGCACGCACAGACCCACACCCTCGCGGCCTCAGCCCTTTGGGGGAACTCAGAGATGATCCCTGAACCCGAACCTATGATTAATAAATTGGTACATTCACATCAATACGACGCCAAAGGTTACCAAAAACGCCTTGACATCACGTTGGTTGACTTACAGACTTTCATTTGCCTACTTAAATGGATCATTAAGTTTTGATTTTGTACAACGTACGGGAAATGTGGTGCACACAGCCATAAGTTGTTATTTGAGTTGATGTAAAAGTCGTTCGGTTTTCGGTGAATGTGCGGCATTTACTGATTCTGTTTTGAATCGTGCATAAAACATGTCAGGGGACACACACACACACACAGCGTAGAGTGTGTGTGAAGAGGGTAGCGCGCGTGGCGCGGCGCGGCGAGTCAACAGAACAGCACACAGCAGCACACAGCAGCTCTAGGCCCCCAGGTGAGAAGAACGAGCAGCTAGCGCGAAGTTGGGTCAATTGAGTTGAGTACTCGTGCCCTTAACAATGTAATACATTTGCT